CACCTAATTATGGTTACAGATATGTTTATAGACCTATCACTATCCTTGAGCAGCTTGAAGCTGGGTTTCCACTGAGGAGACTGGATTGGGACCCCAACACTGAAGCAGCAGAAAAAACTCCAGGATGTGTCTTGGTGCACAAGTGGAAATTTCATTCCAAAAAGCAAAAAGTTTTTCCTTCTTTATCCAGAATGAGGATTTAATGGGACTGGTGATTTAATAAGTCATCTCAAAAGTTTTTGGACTGGTCACTTCTAAATTCCACAAACTTAAGTTTATCTGTAGGATTTTAGTAAACAGATTCAGGTTTTCCTCAAACCAACATTTGGAAACCTGCTGCATTGGGAAAAATACATTTATGGTCAGATGTCAAAGTCACTAGCCTTAGTTTCAATATTGTTGGCATACAGGGTCTAATATAATGTCTTGTGTTAATGCTAATAGAGATTGTTTATGAAATCGATAATATTGTCAATTGACCAATTGTATATTCTCAGAAATGGTGACTTCCTTTCATTCTGTGATGGGTTTGAGACAACCTCTCTTTGTAATGATGCCTGTAAAAATTAATGAGTCCTGGTGTGAGGAACAAGGATTACAAATATTGATAGAGGTAGAAAAAGCTACATGGCAAGCCTTCACAACCCATGGTATAACCCCTGCAGAGGCTGGTAGTCAAAGACGGGTAAGAGAATTGTGGAGAAATATCCAACCTAAGACAGAGCATGAGTATTAAACTGCTCATGGCTTGATGACGGGTAAGGGATTTCTCTGGACATTTCTCACCTAAGACAGGCACAGCCTTTCTGCTGAACAGGGAAAGTCCCTGCTCTAAATATAATAAAAAGGGGGATATGTGGGAAGCCAGCCATAGCCCACTGGCTTTTTGAAAGACAACATTTGTTCCTTTTTAAGGACTGCACATGTTAAACTTGTTTTACCCTGCACGGGAGAAACCCAGACAGCCAAAGATCTGTAGGAGTCAGGTGTTGTTAACTCCATTTTGTTATGTTAAAGATCTGATGTTATCTATAGGAGCAGGTATTGAGGTTACTATGGTAATCCTAGCCCATAATAGTTCGGTCTTTTCCTTTAAAAGGCTGATGCCTGCCTGCAATAAACGTCGCCTTGATCAGATTCTTGTCTTGGCGTCCTTCCTTTCTCTCTGCCCCATCTCCACCCCGCTGCTCTTTCAGGTTTGAGGCACTGCGGGACAGTGCTCTGCGTCGCCGGTTCGCGACAATTGGGATCTTGTGCCTTTACATGACAGATCTTGGTTCTCATTTTTTCCTCATACTCCTGCCCCCCCTTCACTCCCTCCCCCGCCCCATCTACAATTATTAAGGGACAGGGTTTGCCCTCTTCAACCTCTCCAGGCTAAAAACCTTTCCCCATTTTGTCTTTCCAGTTAAAGTTTTTGACTGTAAACTCAAGCCAACTGCCTCCGTTTTAATTTCTATTATCACTGAAGCAAGTTCCCAAGTGCATCCTGTATCAAAACTCCCTGTGGAAAAATCAGGAAATACAGAGAAGGAGCCAGAATAAGAGGTAAGAAAAAGGATTGTTTTCTGACAGAGTTTGAGGTGACGGTTAGATAATGAGATAGTATCCACCCACCCCCGGCAGTCAGAAAGAAAGAAATAACTGAGGTGAGAATAGTCAGGGCAGGAAATAAGGATCTCAGTAGAGATTCACCCTGCCTCCCAAAGGGATCTCATTTGTATTTTGGGTTGCAGTGTGCCCACATGGGGAGGTTAAACCATGACTGGCCAAGTCTAGACATGGTAACTTTGTTTCCTTTGACTATTCAGTGGATTAGAGAGGGATGTAGTATTGGTTGTGAGATTGAAGGCTTCTGGGAAGGATTTTTCTTCCTGATAGAAGACACCCTCAGGAGAAGTTTTCTTCCTTTCTATTGTGAGCCAGTCAGGGGGATACAAAGTCATAGGCGCAGACAGCCATCTTGATGGTCATAGCAGACATTGGTAATGAGGCATAAAGACAGTAAAAACCTGTGGTTGCCAGTAGCCCTGCTAATCTGCCTGCTTCCAGACTTACTGTGACACATGTCCTTATTAATGACCTTTATGAAGTCACCATTAGTTGGTATTTTACTACTCTCAACTGAAGGTATCTTAACTGATTTAATTATTAATGCCTGAGAGAATGGAGAGAGAGAGAGAGAGAGAGAGAGAGAGAGAGCGAGCGAAATTGGAGATAGACTCAGATCTAGGAGATGGAAGACTTGCTAATTAAATGTTAAGGTTTCTAATTAAAAGAAACTACTTATAGAAAACTTGAATCGTGACCCCCCCCCCATATACAGGGCACCCTCCCTCTTAAACTACTCTGTGAGCATTTTCCAAAGAGCATGTGTTTCAAATGAAAGGTCAAACAGGAGATCAGTTTCAATTTGGAGCTACAGGAGGGTGATTATTTCTCTAATGTGATTTGCTTCCTGTTGCTAAAACACAGTCCTTTGAGATGAGGTTGTTTGCTAAGTGAGCCATCTCCTTCCTCTTTCTCCCTTGGAAGAATTAGAGAGTAAGAAGGATCAGTCTGAGGCTCCTCCGTGTGATGGACTGAGGAGCCTTATTTATTCCCTGTGGATAGTGAGTGGCCTGCCACTGGAGAGGCCACAGGCCGGAGTGACAGAGCTGACTCAGGGTAGGGAGAAAATGGCCTGGATCACTGACAGAGGTGAGCAGTGTCCGATTTCTCTGGGGTGGGGTGGGGGATGGAGGGAGAGGTTATGGCAAAGAAAGCCATATCTGTTCCACTGAGCAATTGATGCCACTATTTTTCTTGAAAAAGAGTTTTCTTTTAAGTCATTGAGGATAATTTAACCCCCATCCTGACAGGATGTGGTAATGGCTGCTAATGCATACATTCTTTTAATAAATGAAGAGGCACAAGAAGATTGCCAAATATTAAACAGAGTCCCACATGCCTTATCTGAGTCTATAATGGCCCTATCAAGTGACCTGAGTGAAAGAAATGTGAGTTTTCAGAGGTTGAAGAAGTCTATTTTTCCTTAGTGTGATCTAAATTCACTACTGAGAAGAATGGAAATTCATTGGTCTGTCTTAGGAAATGTTTAGGGGGGCATAGCTCAACGTAAATGATGCGTTTTCTATTGGTAGCAAAGAACATATCAAATAGTTACCTGTGTACTATGGGTTTACATAAATGGCTCCTTAACTGGGCTATACAGCCTAAAAGCCCTATTGAGTCTCTGACCTTTAAAATGTGCAGCCAAGAAATCAAGGAATCTGTGTAATTTGTCATTATTTTGCTAATTCTTTTAAAAATATCTTTCCAGGGTGTGTTTACTTGTTAATTTTTAATTCTACTCTTGAAAGTACTTCTCAAGATTCAAGTAATTCCTAGTATTTTATATATAGGGGACACTTCTTACAGAATTCCTATGAGCCAATAAGAAAATGACAACCCAAAAGAAAAAAAGGACACAAAAATGAGCCAGAAAATCGAAGAAGAGGAAATGGCTGATAATTATCTGAAAATGATTTTAATTTTAGTTTTCTGCAACTTGCTATTTTCCATTCATCACTGTGCCTCTAAGCTTTAGCCATCCATGGTATTCTATGTAGCAATGTTCATTTTCATTGCTGTGATTACATTGCATTGGGGGAGTATTCCACAGTTTTATTCTCTTTGTAATACATGTAGCATGAATCCATATTCATGAAGCTCAAAAGCAGCTCAAAATTACAAAATACCTTGTGTAAGGATATATACATACCTGAAAGAACTATTAATAAACAGGAAAAAAATAAAGAAACAGTCTTAAAGATAACGTCTTTTGGAGAGGAGGCAGAGATCAATGTTGGAGATAGGACTGGACATGTATCAGTCATCAATTGATGTGTAACAAAGCACCCCATAACTTAGTGGTTTAAAAAATTAAGAAAATATTGCTCAAGTGTCTCTGGTTCAAGACTTCAGGCAAGGCTTCAGGCAAGGGGGGCGTTGTCCTGTATTCAACTGGGCTGGGCTTGGCTGGAGGGTTCAAGTTGGCCTCACTTGTAAGCCCTGGACTTTGGTGTTATGGTGCTTCCGATTCTTCATGTAGCTTCTCTCTCCTTGTGCGAGTTCCTCATTTTCCAACAGGGTAGATGAGAGCTCTTTCAACTAAAAAACATCCATGTAATACTTGAGTAATTAAAACAATAGTGGGCTGGGGATTTAGCTCAGTGGCGCCTTGCCTGCTTCAAAAGTGCAAGGTCCTGAGGTCCTGAGTTCAATCCCCAGTACTGAAAAAACAAAGCAAAACAAAACAAACAAAATATGCCCAACAAACTTAATAGCAATTAAAATATATTAAGCAAGAAAATGTACCGCTCTATGATCGTATACTTTTGGGAAATGCTGCATATGGCTCCTCTTTGAGATTCCCAGTTGGGAAGGGGAAATTAAAGGCTCTGAGAAGTCTTGCAAAGAAGATTCTTTTTTTTGGTGTAGAGAAAGGTAGTGTTGGTGTGACCTTCTCTTTCCTCAGGGATATATGAAGGGAGGACTGAATTAGAGATAGCTAGATCTGTCTTTGATCTATCTTATGAAAAGTCCTAACCACCTGCACTCTGCTATTCATGTCTCTGTTAGGACCACACATAACTGCAGGTGACTGAGTGCCAAGGCCCCTGCATACATCTAAGGCCTGCAGGAAGTAGCTGCAAGTCCAGAGGTCAAGAGTGCCTCTTGGAATCAGGTTACTGATGCTTCTGCCCCTCCTCTCACGCTGCCATTACCCTGTCTCCTATTAGCTCATCTTCTTGACTGTGTCTCTTGTTTGCCTTATCCCTGTGACCCACTTAGATCAATTATCCTGACCTCTCTGGTCACGTGGACCTTCAGCTGGTCCCTGATGCTTGGCGACCATAAACTGCTTGGGTTTTTTTTCTCTTTTTTTCCTTTAATTTGAAAGTCAATCCAAGTTAGTTACAATACTCAAAAAGCAAAGCTTCCCTTTGTGTCTTCCAATCCCACTGTCAACAGCTAAGCTTTTCAGTTTCCTTCCAGATGATTTTCCATGTCTATGCAAACACCAATCTGCTCATCCATTTGAACACAATGGGTAGCAACACGTCCATATAGTTCTATAGTCACCTCATTTAATTTATATGTCCCTCATTCTACATTAGCAAATGCATTAAATGCAGACTGATCTAGCTCTTCTTAATAGTGGAAGTTTCTTTAGTTATTCATTTTTTTTCTTGGTCAACACTTGTGCTGCTCTTATTTTTCGCTATTGTGAACAATGTAGAAGTGACCCTCCATGTACCTGAGTACTTTATGGCAGCTCGTGTTTTGAGGAACAAGTTTCTAGAAGGTGCATACAGTCTCATTATCTTACCCCTACTGTCCTAGAGACCTAGGCTGTCACCTACCTCCCTTCTCCAACCACTCTGTGGTTCACCCATTTCAGGGCTTCTCCTTGAGAGCCAACCCCTTGGCACCTGTTCTCTGAAGCTCGTCCCTGGAAGCCTAGGTGACTCACATCTGTTGATAACTATGCTCCAGTGTAGCACTTGCCCTGTTGTGTTATAATTATTTTTTCTAATTGTCCAGTTTCCCTACTAACCTAGAATTTTCTAGAGGCGAGATCAATGTCTGGTGCAGGATTTGGAATCCAGCGAATGAACTAGTGAATGGATTCATTAGCAAATTTTGTTGAACTTACACTGTGTGCTAAACACTGGCACTATGTGCAGACAGTTACGCACAAAACCAAATTCCCTGTTCGTGAGTGGGTAGAGACTCATAATTAGAAAGCAAATAATTGAGGAGATGATCATAAATGCTATGAAGAAAAATAATGCAGCATAGAGAAGGTTATTATGCACAGGTGTCTGATATCTGTGCATAGCCCTAAACGCAGTGAAGGATTGAAGAAATGAATGCCGGTGCAAGGATCCTCACTCCCCTTCATGGAGGAAAGACGTGGGAAAGATTCCCGGAAATGACGTTAACTCCACCAGGGCGTTTGGCATGTATGTCAGAGTCTGGGTTTCTTCGGAGGAGACTACTTTCTCGCAAGGTTGTGCAACCGTAGGTGGGCAGCTTTTTCTGGAGAGTTAACATGGGAAGATGGGCCAGAGCCTTGCCAGGGCAAAAGGGGATAGAAGGAGACAGATCACACTAATTTGCATTTTCCCCCTTCAATTTGCTTTATTTGTTCTTTACCCTGTGATTGTGGCCAGAGGGTTTTTTTTTCCCTCACCTTTATTGGTTATACAAATTCGTAGGTTTCATTTTGGTGGATTTATACATGTACCTAATGTACTTTGATCATTTTCATCCCCCATCACCCTCCTTGCCTTGCTCTCCCCTAGCTTCATGTGTTTTTTTGGGGGGTTCAATGTATATATTTTGCTCATATTCATCCCCTATTACCTACCATTATACCCCTTTCCCTTTTGTTCCCTTCCTCTTTGTTGAATAATAGTCTACTTTTTTGTCGTTTTTTCTGGATTCCACATATTAGGTAGAACATGGAATTTTGCCTTTCACCAGTTTGCTTTTTGAGCGCGGGGGCGGGGGTTGTTAATGGAAATAATTGTTAGTAGGGTAACTGAAATAGCAAACTAGAGCTCCAAGGAGTCAGGGAAGCAGCACCCATAGGAAGCATCCGCCACTCCTCGAGGCCCAAGGAACAAAAGGAAGAGGCTAGAGTTATTAAAGCCTAAAAACCTCAGAAGGTATTGGGGTCAGGGGGCCAAACCTCTGAGAAGTGGGCTCCTCAGCTGGAGCTGGGGTCTGAAGGATCAAGATGAGGCTTTTTTTTTTTTTGTACCGGGGATTGAACTTTCGTTCCTTGTGCTTGCGAGGCAGGCACCGGAACCCCTGAGCTAAATCCCCGGCGAGGCTGGCTTTTTAAACTCTTAAGAAACTGCAAACTAGATTCAGCTGCTACAGCTGGGGTGCATGAAAGTGTGCTGCTGGGGTGATGCACACAGGAACTTTCACAAGCGGAAGTGAACAGGGAGGAGCAAGTCTCTGCCTCCTCCCCGGCCTCATAGTATCCTTCTAAGCCACTGGTGGGGAGCTTATGGTACGTGTGCCGTTTTTCTTCTAAGACAAGCGATGTTAAGGTGTGAGTTGTTTTTCTAAACTAAAACCTCAGTATTCAGGTTTAATTGCAGTGTTGGCACTTTGTGATAAGTAAGTGGGTTTTGGGTAGCAGTTTGGGCACTTGTCTCTGAAAGGTTCACCATCACTGCTCTAAGCATTGAATTTGGTTGGTGGAGTCCCAGTCCTAGTCCCAGCATCACAAAGCTGAGTCCAGAAGGGTAGGTTTGGAGCCCAGCCCTCCCCAAGGGGAGACTGCACACAGGCACAGATGCAAGGTTGTGGGGTCGCTGGAAAGCATTTCTGAGGGTGCCTAGCAAGTCACTTTTCTCACTGTCACTCAGGCCATGGTGACACTCACTTTTTAAGAGTAGTGATGGCATTCTAGACAAGTGGCCCAGTATGAAGGATCGAGGCATGTTGAGGCTTCTGTTCTAGTCAATTTATACTTTATCACAAAATTAATGTAAGGCTTATACAATGATACTCTCAAGTATAATGGTGCTATATGGTAATTAGGTGTTCATGTGGTACAAAGCTCACCAAAATGACTATAATTAGCATTACTTCTACACAACCAAATCACTTAGCTCTTTCCTTCCTATTTGTGTCCCCAGGATCTATCAAGAGCTTCCTCAAGAGCTTTGGAGTTTCCTCAGTTACCACCTACTGCTTAATTATCACCCCATGTGAAAACTCTGACACTCACATAAACAAAATTATAAAGATTCTAGATAGTAGCACACAATAGTTGAGTGTGTTGCCTTTGCCTCCTTCTCTCAATGTTTACCATTTCCCCTTGTTCCCCAGAGGAAAACTCTTGAGCACCAAGAGGCTGAGCTAAAATTCTTAAGGGAGGTATGCATAGAGGGTATGGTGAGACCAGCTCCAACTCGCCAGCATATCTGCATGGACTACTTGAAATTATTAAAGCAGGTTGCCCCTAGGTCTTCCTTCCCCAGTTGCAGATTCGTTGGGGGTAATTTTAGCAGAGAATAAAGTCCTTAAACTTTCCACAACAATGAAAAAGTAAATGTACAAATGGAGGCAAGGGAGCGTATTGGTATTGAGTGAACTTCAGTTATATGGAAGCGCTTGCCAGATCCTTTCTTGTACTGATGGAGAATGAGGAAGAATAGCAGCCAGAAGGGTGAGAAGAAAGATGCCATCAGAGGCAGGGGTGGAGTGGGACAGTGGAAGGAGGAACTGAGGCATTAAAGACCTGACTAGATAGATTTCCTGGTAAAATAGAGGACCTTCGGTTAAATTTGAATTGCTGGATTTAGCACTGAATGAAAATACAGGGGTCTCAGTTAAATCTAAATTGGAGGTAAACAATGAAGAATTTTTAGTATATCATATAATGCTTGAGCTGTACTATACTAAACATTATTGTTGTTTTCCTGCAGTTCAGATTTAACTGAGAGTCCTGTGTTTTTATTTGGCAAATCTGGCAACCTTATTACAAGGCTAGTCCCTCTTTTTGTCCTGGAACTTGTCCTCCTCTCGGAGGGTCTTGTTGCTATGGAGCCAGTGCCTTTTTGATGGCCATATTCTTGACATTAATCCTGGCTTCTCCTGATGCTCTCATCCCTCTGCCCCAATCTGCAAAGGAGCTGTGCCACCACCCCCAGGGAGAGCACATTGAGGGTAGAAGATAATGCATCACTCTGAGGCCCTCCTTCCCCTGTCTCCCCAACATGTTTAATAGCACTTGGTCCTTTCCTGGCCTTCTGGAGTGCTGAGCTTACAAGTCTTTAAGTCTCCACAATGTGAATGTGTCTAAATCCAGCACAACAGATTCTGAGACAAAGGGGGCCACTGGGTATGGGTTTAAATGTGTGCAACATGCTTCTAGCTGAGCAGTTTGAGTTGAAAGGGGTTTAGTCTGCTCCCTGGTAGGCAGCCTGGGAAGATACTGTAGTTGGGAATCTCTCTCTGCACAGCTCCTCCCCAAATTTCTTTCAGGTTTTATAGTGTTATGGATCTTGTTTTAGTATCAAGTGTTTTGGTTATCAAAGTAGATCAAACCTCAAGAAATACTTTTTTACCGACTAGGGGAAAAACAACTGTTGGCAAGGATGTGGAAGAAAGGGAACCCTTGCACACTGTTTGTGGGAATGCAAATTAGCACCATCATTATGGAAAACAGTATGGAGGTTCCTCAAAAAATTAAAAATAGAGCTATCGTTTGATCCAGCTAACCCACTTCTGGGTAAATATCCAAAGGAAATGAAATGCGTATGTTAAAGAGACATCTGCTCTTCTGTGTTCATTGCCATACCATTCACAAGAGCCAAGAAATGGAAGCAACCTAAGTGTCCGTCACTGGATGAGTGGTAACGAAAATGTGCTTACAGGGCGGAATACTATTCAGTCACAAACAGAATGAAATCCTGTCATTTGCAACAATATAGACAGTTTCACGTTCAGTGAAATAAGCCAGGCACAGAAACATAAATACATCGTCTCACTCGTATGTGGAACCTAAAGAAGTTGGTGGAATAGAAATTGAGAGTAGAGAGGGGGTTACCAGCTGGGGAGCGTAAGGAGATCGGGATGGCTGGGGAGAGGTTGCTTAATGGATCTAAATTATAGTTGGATAGAAGTAAGAAGTTGTGTTATGTCTGTGCACAGCAGGGTGATCATAGAATATGATAATACATTATACTTTTGTTTTTGGTACCAGGGATCAAACTCAGGACCTTGCTGTTTTGAGGCAGGTGGTGGAACCACTGAGCTAAATCCCTGGCCCCATTATACATTTTTAAAAGCTAGAAAAAAAGGATTTTGAATTCTTTTATCATAAGAAATGATGAATATTCAGATAGGTATCTTTAACCTAATTTAGGCATTACACAATATATATATGTGCATTGAAACATCACATGATATCCCCCACTAGTACATACAATTTTAATATTTTTATGTATCAGTTAAAAATAAATTTAATTAAAACAATGGAAAACAAAATTTGAGTCTCCAAGGATTCTAATAAGCCAGAAAAAAAAGGGTTCCATTAAATGCTAATTAGTTTCTCTAATTTTCTCTCCTTCCTTCTAATTGCAGGATGGGTGAAACTGTTGCCTAATCCTGGGTGAGAGACATTTTCTTTGCCAGTTGTCCAAATAACGGGAAATTCCTGCATTGTTTGCTGCAGTTTCACAAACTTAATGGATCTATGCTGACTTTTAAAAGCCATCTGTTACTAGGGGCAAAAAGAAATAAAAGAGGAAAATACTTTTAGACACTCTAATACAGGTGAAAGAAAAAATCTTCCTGGAGAAATAAACAAAAAAAGAAAGAAAAGAAGAGAAATGAACAACGGTAAGAAAAACGTCCATGCTCGTCTTCATAAATCTGGATCCTAGTACTCATACTGCAGGTTACCAGGTTCCAAGTGGAATCAAGACTGGGAGGACAGGGCCGGGGATTTAGCTCAGTGGTTTTACCACCTGCCTCACAAGTGCAAGGTCCTGAGTTTGATCTCTGGTTAAAAAAAAAAAAAAAGACCGGGAGGACACAAAGAACAAGGTACAACCTAATCCATAGAACAGGGGCCCATTGTCACACCAAGTAGTTTCTGCTTCCAGGTTTAACCCCCCATTCTTCCCTTTTCCTCCTTTCTTCCTTTGCCCCAGTACTGTAGCTTGAGCTGCTACTGTCTGAATACCCAAGCTACCTCTCCCCTTTGTGCCCACACCCTTCCTGTCCCTTTGCCTAGTTACCCCTACTCCATCGCTCTGGCTACTTCCCGTCCTTTAACTTTAAACATGGTGACTGCCTCCTCCAGGCAGCTCCACCCGGGCCCTCTCAGGGTGGAGTGGGTGTCCTGTCAGGGTGTGCCCAAAACAACATCTGCTGATCCCCATTGTTGCACCAATCATAATATGTGGTATTTCTTGGTTTTGGTCTCAGTCTACTCCATAGTAACTGCACACCTTGAGTTAGAAGGCTGTGTCTTGTTCATCTTCGTACACCTCGTTTACACCTAATTCTAGTATAGTGCCTTGTTCACACCAGGCAGGAAGGTGCTCAGTGGGCAGTGGGGTGGACAATGACTTTGAAATACTTGATAATGAGTTCTAGAATGTTGGATGAAAGTCTTCGTCATCCAAACCTACCAAGAGATTGTGATAATGGAAAGTTAGGGATTTTCCCACATGCATGTTTTAGCATATGGCTTCTGAGGGAATTTAACTCTCAAATAGCAGCACACTCCTTTGCACTATTTTCACAATCTCCATGCTCATTGGACATCATATATTCATGTAGTGTAAGAAATCCCCAGACAAAAATGGTCACTGCATCATTTCTGGTTGGAATTTTAGCAACCCTCTTGGATAACCCATTTTTTCATGAGAAACAGAAGATACAATTGGTTTGTTAGTATATATTTTTTAATTGTGCAAATTAGCATGTATGTAACTGCGTGTGTGTGTGTGTGTGTGTGTGTGTGTGTGTTGATAAGGATAACCCCCAGCTAAGCTGAACAAGATAAAAAAATAAAACATTTCTGTGGTGTAAGAAAGATTAGTTGCCAATTTTAGTCCACACCCATTCATTTATTTAAATGTACTGAGCACCTATTACAAGCCAGACACTTTTAGGAGCTCCAGAAATATCAGTGAAGAGGATGCAGATCTTACCTTCACCTTCTACGAGGGAGAAAGACATAATTAAGAAACCAATTAATACATAGGAAAATAAGTGATAATGGTAAGGGCTAATCAGAGGATGAGATCAGAGGGATGCACTGGAGTGACTGGTGGGAGAGGCGACCTTTGCCAGGAGGTTCTATTTAAGTCAGCACCCAGGGACAAAACATATAAGGATAGAAAGCACTTCAAGAAAAGGAGATCATGCCAATGACCTCCAGGGCAGGAACAAAGATAGCATCTGTGTTGTGTCTTTGGTTCACTTGTTTCCGTCTGTCTCTGTTCTATAGCAGGAGGGAGTGTCTATTTTATTTATCAACATATTCCTAGGGCCCAGCATAGCGCCTGCTTGGCACATAGTTTGTGCTCAACATATATTAATGAATAACAAGTGTACCTCTGCTTACCTGCAGGGCAGTACCTGAAGATGTGGACCCTGAGTGTTAGCTGGGCAGAACGATGCGAGACAGAAACTGTCTTCTCACTGAGTCTGGCATCCAAAGAGGCTCAGAGACTTGGTGAGTGAGCTTCTTTCCTCAGCCACCCCTTCTAAGGCTTCATGTTCAGGCTTGCTTATTTTCTGTGTGTACGGAAATCCGAGATCAAACTTGGTTGAATTCATTCTTACTGCTCAGCTGCACAATAATTTCTGGGCAAAAGGAAGCTTCTTACTAGGAGCTAAAATCCCCCGGATGGTATATGCCAAGCTACATATGTAGAAAAATTCCTGGCTGTCTTCTCTGGTGTAAGGATGATAACAGTTAGCTAGCATGCTGTTCTGGGCCAGCTGGGCCTTTAACTGAAGCGAAACAACCACCACCACAATAACTACAAAAAGTCTGCTGCAGGTGCTGGTTCTAGGTGAAACTGGGGTTATTTGAGGGCCCGTTTCCCATGAGCTACCTTGCATCTCGATTTTGTGAGGTTCTAAAATATTTAAGGTCTTTAAAGACTTTGGGCCTACTTCTCTCTATGTCATAAGTTTCGAGTTCCACCCACATCCCATATTAGGTATAATGCTTCTGCTTTAAATCATTTGAAAGAGGTTTGCTTCTGTTAGCTATTGCTGTGTAACAAACAATTTCAAAACGTTGTGGCTTTCATAGCGTGGGCCTTCTGCTTCAAACGCTGGAACAGCGTAGCCTTGTCCAGAAGCTCAGCTGAGGCTGCGATGTCTCGAATGCCTGGGCATCAGAGGCCGATGGACTTTGACTGGGAGTTCAGCTGGGGCTGGAGCTGGAGGCTTTGCTTCTTCTCTATGTGAGCCTCTCCATGTGGTTGTTTGGACTGCCTCACAGCATGGAGCTGAGTTTCAGAAAAGACTATTCTAGGAGTAAGCATTGTAAGAGGAGGAAGGCAGAAGTTGCCAAGTCAATTAATGGATAGTCCTGGAATTGGCATAGTATCACTTCCTCAGTGTGGAAGAGAACCCCACAAAGGCAAGATATTGGGGGATCTCTTTACTGGGATCATCAAAATAATAGTCAGTGATGAGCTTTCGATTAATGATTATTTTTGTACCTCAATTAAGTAAAACAGAATTACCATATGATTCAGCAATTCGTCTTCCAGGCACTTGTGTATAACCAAAAGAATTGAAAACAGGGACCGAACATCTGTGTTTGTAACATATACACCTGTGTTTGTAACCTTATTTACAAAAGCCTAAGGGTCGAAACAACCTAAGTGTTCCTGAGGGCTGAATGGATCAGCAGAATGTGGTATTGTCTTAATCTATTTGTGAGTTTACTCTGACAGTGAGCTTGGTTGCGCAATAAACTGAATGTGCTTGGGCCATTGAATTGGACATTTAAAAAAAGTTAAAATGCCAAATGTTGTTATGTTTATGTTACCATAATACATTTTTAATTTTAAAATTCATTTAAAAAATATATAAAACATTGTATCTATGTAAGAGTTGAATTGAACTGCAGGTAACTTGTTGTTGTTGCTGTTGAAAGCCTGTGGAAGTTGAGTGTAATGTGTGTGCCTGTAATCCCAGCTACTTAGAGTCTAAGGCAAGAGTATCACAAATTAGAGGCCAGCCTGGGCAGTTTAGCAAGACTTTGTCTCAAAAGAAAACAGAAAAGGGCTGGGGATGCAGTTCAGTGATACAGCGCTTGTTCGGCATGCCTGAGGCCATAGGTTTAATCCCTGATACCACCCCTCCCAAAGAATCCACTGAAAATAAACATTGGCATCGCTTGGATTTGTTAGAAACACATACTCTCAGGCTCGCCCTGCAGCTACTGAATCAGAATCTGCAAACAGGATTCTCAGGTGTTTTATATGCTCATTAATATTTGAGAAACAATGGGATTACATGATATAATGCTGTGTTTTGTGGGCATTTAGTTAAACATTTATTAATTTAGATTATGCAATTTTCTGTCTTGTATTTTGGAATAATTTCACATTTTTTAAGTCCTCAAAATTTTCATAGTTATTTTGAGATGTTCTTGGGCTCTAGGTGCCCCACTGGAAGTGCCCCAGGGGGATTTGGCAAATTTTGCAGATCCCCACCCCCTGACTTTCCCCTCCATGGCTACAGATCTTCAGTCACCTCTGTGGCTTCACAGGAGTGCTTTCCTGAGAGCCTGCTGCAAGGGGGACTCTCTCATGTTTCAGAACCACAGCCCATGGCCTAGAGACTGCAGCCCTGAAGTTAGATCCAGATCTCTTTCTAAGACACCATGTCCCAGGGCTGGTTCGGAGGCCATAGAGGCAAAATCAATTCTGTTAGTCCAATTACTGGATGATTAACTCAACCTTAAAGGTTCCTACTGAAGGAAGCTTCCCAGTCCCATTGGAAAAAAATCCCAACTATTTGCTAAAGTTTAATATCTATGCAGAAAATGCACATACAAGTTTACAAGTCAGCACATTTTCATATTCTGACACTCTTGGAATCAACCCCATGTCAAGGAATGGAATGTTTGTTTGTTTGTTTGTTTGTTGAGGCAAGATCTCTAACAGTTCAGGCTGCCCTCAGGCTCACAATGTAACCCAGGCTGGCCTCAAACTCACAGCAATTCCTCCTGCTTCAGCCTCCCCAGTGCTGGGATTACAGGCATGAAGAAATAAAATATTATCAGCCACCATTTTCCCCAAGATTAACCACTATTTAGACTAGTATAAAGTAGCTTTTACCAGGTTTTGTTCTTTATATAAATAGGATAATATGCTGTGTTCTCTTTTGTGTATATTTTTGTCAACTGTATACTTATGAGAATTAGTTATATGTAATTGTGGGTGTTTTTTTTTCTGTGTAGTGATCCATTGTGTGAATTCAGACGATAAAAAATTGATTATATTGTGGGTGACTATTTGGGCAGTTTCCAGTTGGGGCTATTGTGAACAGTTCAGTGTACATCTTAATACTTTCGTTGGGGGAAATACTTGGCATTTCTATGTGAATTACTTTGAAGTGGACTTGTTGGGTCATAAAGAGACACCTACGTTTAGCCTTACTGAAACTGCCATGCTCTTTCCTACACTGTTAGCCCCGTTTTAAATCTCACAGTGAATGCTCCTGACCCCATTCTCTCCCTTCTTAAGAGTTGTGACAAATCTCAAACGTGACATTCCTCTCACGTGCAAGATTTACAAATTTCTACCAAAACATTAGTGCTAACATTTCAAAATAAATAAATTCATCTATGAAATCCGCAGCAGTGGCAGGTTGAAAAAGCTAACAATTGACAGCTCTAGTGCCGGGGATGCTAAGATGGTTTTCTTTGTTACTGAGAGAGCTGGGGAGCCTTTTGCAAAAGCTGCTGCCAATCAGGCTTGCCTAGCTCGCAGGGCTAATTAACAGCACTTGGGCAAGCAAGGGGTGGGTGCTGGTGCCTGCACAGGATGCAAACTGAACCATCCCAAGGCTTGTGACTAATTATAAATACAAAGCGCTTAAAGGTTGCAATAAATCCCAACCCCCAAGAAAAAAAATACCTCTTCAGAATTCTAATGCGGGCATGCTTGTGAGTGTTGGCTCAGGAGCAGAGGTGCTAGGAAAAAAAAAAAGTCTCTCAGTGCTGACTAAATCACACAGCATCCTGTATCGTGCAACCACCCTTCCAATCATGCACTGAGCAGGAGCAAGGCTTTCTTTGTGTGGTACAGGATTTGGGGGCAGTGTGTCAGTTCCATTTCCAGGGGAGCCTGGGGCCCTAGCATGATAAACCTGTTATTCTCCTGCTCTCCTTAAGCACGGAGGGGCAGGATGAGGTAATCCAGGCCCCTGCAGGGGTACGTGGAGTTGCATATGCAAGCTTTGATCCCCACTAGTTACAAACCACAAATAATACATAAGGTATGCAAATTAGGCACCAATTAATAGTGTTTATTAACGTCTCCTGAAACCTTGTGAGGAGAAGCTGTAAGCACTTGCAGGCGAGGAAAGCCACGCTTGTGCGCTTTGTTGCAGAAGCCCGTCTGGTCTGGCGAAAACACTGTGGCTACTGGGAGGGCAGAATGCAGCTGGTGCTCTCAGGCATTTGAAAAAGTGTCCATCCACTCAGGTCAGGCTTGAGGAACAATTTGGTGTGAGAGTAGGAATCAGAAGAAAATAAGTATCTCTGTTTCCCCTTCCTTTGGAGCACTGCCCAGCCCTAGGTTGTGATGAGTTCTGAATGTACAATTTCAGGGCCTCCCCTAACCTCTGAGAGAAGAGACCAGGACAACCCAAGGCCCAAATAATCTGGGAGAAGGGGGATAGGCGTGGGGACTGGGGGAAGGGAAAAGGAAACAGACAATGATTACTTAAAAGAACGGTGAAAAATCACTAGTAGTAGCCTTCTCATCCTTGAGCTTCATCTTCCCTGATCATCACTGACCATTTTATGGGCTCCTTTTCAGAATAAAAATGTAAATGTATAAAACACAGCATATAGCATATTAAAACACAATTATAAAAATATTTAAAGTATAATATAATGACAAATGTGCTTCTTTATTAACTAATTATCAAACTTCAACGACTAGAATCATGTCAGACTAATGATGAGCATAGATATCTACAAGACTATAATGTCATACAAAATATTTTCTGTGATTTCTCTTGGTGACAGTCACAGGCACCAGAACTCTAGTGTGTCACCTACCATCATAATAGAAGGAAATGCAAAATTAACCTGTTAGTGGCCAGTGAAAATAAAGGTTGGGATTTTTTTCCCTGTTCATGTTTATAGATTTCCTGCCTTCTAAGCAGTCTCCCAGGTTAAGACCTTATGAAGCAGGTTTGCTAATCCCAAGGGAGGATTCGCACTGTGTGGAGATAGCAGAGATTTTCACTATGATGACCATCAGGGATAGGAACCCAAACATTTTGCCCCACTGGGATTTGGGCTGCAGTTTTCCCAACTGAATCTGGTGAATCTTGTTCATATATGGCAAGTTATAGAAAACAAATTTATTACTTAGAGATAGGCAGCAAAAGAAAAAGAAGCCTAGGATCCATAGTGAGCCAGTCCCCAAGACTCACAAAAGCTGCCTGGGGTGAATGGAGTCTGGATTCCATGTGACTCACTTGCACTGCAGATGCGGGACACCACCACCACCACCACCACCGCTGCCACCGCTGCCACCCGACCCTGCAGAAGACAGATCACCCTGTGTTATACACCTCAGGGCAACATTGCTGTCTGGGAAAAGCTCTGAAGGACATCCTCCTTCCAGGAGGAGAAAGGATCAAGGCCTGGGCTGTGTCAGTCAGCTCTCCGCTGCCTCAGGGAAGTGGACTTCCAGTGCATTCTACAGTCACTTTGAGAACTGTAGGCATGAAGAAGTAGGTAGAGGGTGGTGAGGGAGAGACGCTAGGTTGGCCAAGGCTATCCAGGGGCTGAACAACAGAATCTCTTGTCTACTATTATTTACCAGTGTCATAAGCTGGATTTAAAAAGATATTCAAGGTTGTCATAAACATTGCCCTTGCTTCAGAAGACAAGAATTAAAATGATTCTTATGAAAATAATCATTTCTATAGACATTGTATCAGTGTTTACTAGAGAAACATATAATGCAAGATATACACATACACAAAAAGTTACAGGATTGGCTCACAGTGGTCACCCACAGAGCTGGATGTGGAAGAGTGCAGAGGGTCTCACTACACACTGGAGACTGAAGGATCCAGTCCAGGGTCAGGTCAGGAGCTCGCTCTAGTGTCCCACGTGAGTCTATATCAGGAGGCCAGTGGGCCTGTGATAGACAGCAGAAGAGTCTACTCTGGAAGGCTGAGGGTCTGCGCTGGAAGCCAGGAGATGACTTCCCAGGTAAAGGCGAAGGCTGGAGCTCCTCTGAAGAAACAGAAGCGGAGCCCTAGCAGGTGGAATTGCTAAGCCAAGTTAGTTGAGCTTCTCTTACTCTTGCATGTACTTTGTTACCTTTATATCTAAGTGTTTCACTGAGGGGTGCTAACATAAATGCTATTGTATTTTAAATTTCAAATTATGTACTTCTTGTGGGCTTCTTGTACACATCATATTCAGATGTTGGATAAAATAATCTATACTTAGGTATTATAGCTAGTTGACTGATTAGTGTTTTTGAGTTGAACTCTTTCCTTACTAATTTTCTGCTTACTGGATCTATTCCTTATCACCTCCAACTATAATAGTGGATTAATCTATTTTTTCCTTGTACTTCTATCAGTTTTTGCCTCATGTATTTTGATGTTTTGGGATGCATGCACATAAACGATTGTTATGTCTTCTTGGAGAATTGAGCTTGTGCTCTCATATGCTATCCCTGGATAATTTCCCTTTCTCTGAGAAGTGTTCTGCCTGAAATTAATGTAAATATACTTGTTTTCTTTTGATTGATATTAGTATAGTTTCTCTTTTTCCATTCTTTTACTTTTAATCTATATGTCTTTATATTTAAAGTTAGTTTCTTGTAGACAGCATATAGTTAGGCCTTGTTTTTCAATCTACTATAACAATCTTTGTTTTTTAATTGGTTTAGTTACCTTAGTGAACACAATGGACTCAGGGACACTTCCACAGTACATACTTGTCATGCATATTATGCAGAGATTGCAGGCCAGTATACTGAACTCTATTCCAATCCGTCTGCGGCAAGGAAGTTAATTTGTAGAAAGCCAATATTTTTTAATTTCCTGGACATCCATTTTTACTTCATGTTTTACAGAACACACAGGTTTTGCCAAGCAGATGTACTTGTGTGGGATTCGGGAGGCAGAAATTAACATAGTGAGATGGAGGTTGTTTTCCTTTCATTCGTGGTGTTTTGTCTGGCAAGCATGGTTGTTCAATTTTGATCAGTAGAAAACCCACCTAAATGGCTTAAACAAAAAGGAGCATATTTTCCTTATATATCAAGAGGTTTGAACAGAGGTAATCACTGCATTGGTTTACCAGTTTGCCAATATCAGAATCAATCAGGATTAGTATATGTGCAATTCTTTTGGACTTTCCTTAATGGTTACAAGGCTATTCTGGAAGGTATAGCTATTACATCAGTATTCAAGGTAACACAAAACAAAAACAAAGTAGAAATGGGGAACAGCAGCAATTATGCCTGCTTATTTTGATCAGGAAGGTGAAAGCTTTCCTAGAAGTCCTCACAACAGACATATAGGTTGATTTCACTCTCCTTGCCAACTGGAACAAAATTAGGGTTCTGTTGGTAAGAAAGAAGTAGAGAGAGATGAGAGTAACCTAGTCCATAGAATTCATGGCCTTTGTGCTTCAGGAGCTAATGAGGGCTTGTAGAGATAAAAGTAATATGCATGAGCCCTTGAATAATAACGTGAAATGAGGCAACAAAAATGTGACAGAGCTGACATTTTAGAGGAGATGGAGACTTTAAGCTTCTAATGCAGCCCACCCTCATTTTAAAGGCTTGTGTGTTTCAGCTGAACATATGGACAAACTCTTGCTCATTGCACTGTGTGTAGCTGATGTTACTTCCCAAGGCAGAAGTGTGTTTTGAGTAATTTTTCCAATGGACCTGCCTTCTGCAGGGTTGATGGGCAAGCAGTAGTGAACTTGGATCCAAAGGGATGACAGGTCACTATGCAGGCACAGGTCTTTCTTGTTTCCCTATCCCCAAGGGAAGTAAGATGAGCCCATTGTAAAGAGTCAAATTCAACAGAGATATGTCTTCTTTTGGTGGAAGCACCAATATTTATTTAAACTTTTGACTCTTTACTCCTAAGAATTGTGACTTGACCCATTTATATTTGTTTTTTTTTCTAGAATTAATTTTTTTTTCACATTGACAGATACCATGAAAAACAATTACATTTTCTCACATTACAGCACAACATTTCACTGGAATAATTTTTGCTATTAATAAAATTTTACTGATTTGTATAACTGAAATAAGTCTACGTTCTTCAAGGTAAAGCAAAATGACATAGTAAATGATTGTTTAAAATTTTAAAATCCAGAAATAAACACATGGCTTCATTATAAATATCCTAGGTAGCCCATTACTATATTACTTCCATGATCACCTAGCCCCATTAAGATGCATTCCTAACATTGTTTTGGTCAATTGAACTACAGCAAAAAATTAACAGTTCAAAAGTATCAAGCATACATTTTAAACTGTGTGGTAACTATACCCTGTTTATGGAGTTTTAACATTTTACTACCCATAGAGTTGTTTTCAAATAATTTTTTACTATTAATCTGGAAATATTGACTATTTAAAATCAAATGAGTGGTTTTTATGTTTGCACAAAAGATTAATCACAAAAATTAATTTGAAAATTTCAAATAAGACCATTGGCAGATAAAAATAGAGCAAATTTTTCTAATGGATTGTTTTCTGCAGTAGTTGGTTTCAAACATGTACAGAAAAAGTAAACTTACTGGGGCAAAGAGATTCAGTACTTTTAGAAATTAGTTTTTAAGTTCAGTCTTAAACATTTTTGTACCTATCAAAATATGATCTAATTATTTTTCATTTGCTTATAGAAAAATAACAACAGGTTTTATTGTTGCTTGAATTGAAGATTTTAAATAACTAAATAAATCTAAATTGGGGCCAAAGTACTGTTATTTGAAATTCATAATATAATAAGTTTAAGTAATTTTAGTTTCTTTTAAAGTGATGCAAATTTCAAATACCATGTCTGTTATTCAGAATGTCAAATTATAGCATGTATTGACAGTAGATGTCTATGGCAGGGAGGCTTATGTGCAGTTGGCTATGAAGGGTAATCACGAAAGAAAACTTTTTTTCTTTTTCTTTTTTGGTACTGGGGATCGAATAAAACTTTTTTTCCTCGAGAGGTGAAAATATCAAATAGAAATAATGTCAGGGAAAAGAAAAACCTGGTCCCCCCCAAAAAGGGCTATTAAATAAAGAGAGCAATGTTACTCTTTATTGACGAAAGCATTTTTTGTATTATCAAAAACAATATAATAATAACTCTTATGTATTACTATCATTTATAATGAATACATATATAAAAATACAGACGGTGAGTAAGCAGTTTTGGAATAAATCCTTAGACTAAGTCATAGCATGCATGAATAATTTATACCCAAACTGCTCATTCTACCCAAACAAATTTTCATTAAGCACACTGGTAATTTTCAAATGATGTAATAAAAAAATCTAGTTGCAGTATTTTGTTATTTTGCTGAAGTTATGTTTGAGGAAAAAGAACCTAGTTGCATCACCTATTTTAATACTAGTATGTTCTGTCACATTATACAAATACATGTATAGCAACTTAAAAGATCATACATTTCCCACATGAAAATGTTATTTAATATACATCATTGATATGTATTTGGAAAATATTTTAACACTGTTTTAACACTTCAAACATTAGACATTTTAAGACTGGACATGGGAAACAGTTTATACTCTACTACAATATGCCACTGGTGTACTTCCAAACAAGGCCTCTTAGTGATGTCGCCCGATTTGAGATAGAAGTTTATCAATGAATTGCTTGACATCTGTTATTTCCTATTGACATGACCTATGCATCGTAGCCATGTTCATATTTAATGTTATAGGTATAACTGGCACATGTGGGCAGATATATGTGATATGTGAACTTCTTTTTTCTTTTTTAAGAGTAGGAAAAATTTATTGAGGGAAAGAAAGCTTCTGTCTAAGAGAGACAGAAAGAGGACTGGAAAGTGGGTTGCCCGCAAAAATATGGAATGCTGCGCAAATTTGGGTGTCGTCCTTGTGCAGGGGTTATGCTAATCTCCTCTTTATCGTTCCAATTTTACTACAGGTGCTGCCAAAGCAAGCACTGATATGTGAACTTCTGATACCTGCAAAGGCTTCTGTCCACCTATGCCCAGTGAAGTGGTACCTCGGTTCATGAACTTAATTCGTTCATAATTTGCGGGGGGGGATGTCTGCATTTGTGTTTTTTACCTGATGTGGAGTTCGTGAACAGGAGCAACATTTTGCTGAACGCTTCTGTTTGTGAACTGAATTATTCATGAAGAGAAGTGTTCGTGAACCAAAGTATTACTGTATCTCCCAATCCATGAAGGAAAATAACCATGGTGGTGACCTTCTGGGTGGTGGACATGATGACGAGCAGCAGGGCAGACATATTGCCACACATTCACTGGGTAGGCAGTGTGTCAGAAGTAGAAGAGAGAGCGTGCACTAGGTGGCCCAAAGACAAGCGCTGGTAAAGTCCCTCCTGCCCCACCGGGCGCGTGTACTGGTATGTGCAGGCAAAACACTACCCACCGTTTGTATTTGTTGTCTTTGGTGTGCAGTGGGGGACAGTGACTATATGAGTCTGCTAGGGCTGCCATAGCAAAGAACTATAAACTGGGTTTGTTAAAAAACAGGAGTTTATTGTCCAAGATCAAGGAACCAGCAAAGTTGGCTGCGTTTGTGGATTGTGAGAATCTGTTCCAAGTCCTTCTCCTAGGTTCTAGTGGTTTGTTGGCAATCTTTGGCATTCCTTGGCTTATAGATGCACGACCCCAATTTCTTCCATCGCGTCCTCAGAGCATTCTCCTTGTGTGCAGATGTGTGCCTATTCCCCCTTTGTTAAAGGACCCAGTCATGTTAGATCCACCATACTCTAGGTTGACCTTGATGCAGGAAATGGATTAAAACAATAATCTTTTATTCTGCATTCATGGTCCTTTGGGTCATTGACAACTTACAGATTGGATTCAAGTCCGCTCCGAATATTTTATTCAGTGGCTCATGTCAAAGTGGCAGTATATTCTTCTTATGGTAAATTATCAGAACACAAAGAAGCAGCCTAGTCTTAACAGCATATTTCAAGCCTTTGTTCATGTCATATGGCATAGCCTAAAGTCAGGAGATAGCTATAATCTACTTCTATGAAGCTTTAGTAAGATGGTAGATACTTCTATTAAAAGAGAATGACAAATTGGAGTAATATTTCAATAATATTGGACTAATATTTCGAAGTAACTTGTGCCCTATAATAATGTTGACATATGTCTCTTCCAGTAAGTTTTTGTTTCTGTTTGGTTTTCTCAAGTAGTCAAAGTGTCTGTGTCACTGGGACCAGAGAAAATGGGAAGAATATTCAAGAAAGGAAGAGCTAGACCAACACAGATTCTGGGATTCCAAGCATTTCTAACTCTTGTAGAGATGTTGCTATGTGTGTTTATGCATTTTGTAAAGAAATGCAAGGACCTGAAAGTTGCAAATTCCTTTAGAGCCCATTCATTAGCTTCTTAAAAGAAACATCCTCTAAGTCTGAAAGATAAATAGATGCTTAAAGCATGTAAAAAGTACAAAAATGCTGTTTCTAATTTTTTTGGCTGAGCAGTGTTTTTAAAAGGAAAAATAGGTATTAGCCAAGATGTTAAAAACATCAACTAGAAATTTTATTTACAGCCGATGAGTCACTTGACTAATTTACAAAGGAGAAATTGCTGGTTGTACCAATAATTTTGGCTAATTTTGACTTATCCTTTAGCAGACACTGATTAACAAAATTAGCACTATTAAAGGGTACTAGAATGGGAGGGCTGGAAAAAAATTGGTTAACAGGTACAAAGACTAGATAGGAGGAATAAGTTCTGGTGTATTGTCATGTGAAAAATTAATTAAAGTTAACATTATGGAATCATATTATTATTAATTAAAGTTAACAATATGGAATGGCTAAAAGAGGATTGTGAATATTCTTAGCAAAAGAAAAGATAAATGTTTGAAATGGTGGATAAATTAAATATTTTAAATTGATCACAATATTCACATGTACAGAAATATTACAATGTACCTCAAAAATATTGTTTGTACAATTATTACCTATCAATTACCATTAACTAATTAATTAAAACCCCTACAACTATTCCCTGTTGTTGGAGGAAAATAAAAGAAAAAGTAGCCTGAGAAAGCTAGTGATGCTAGAAAATGTCATTTGTTTGTTTGTGGGTGTGTTTTATAGCAACTACATATGGCCCAAAACTCTGGGATATTCCTGTCCTATCTGCATTCTAGCTGTGTCAAGATCTTCCTTCTGTTTTTCATAAAAGGAGTGCTGTGCTGTTTACATGAGCTGCAGCATGACCCTCAGCTATATAGCCTTCTTCATCTATTGTCTTAGGTCAAGATGAATTACACACAGAGCCTTGACCATAAATATTTAATGATTTTTATCTGCAGAGTGTTGTGCAAGCACACTTAGCCCTATTTTGAAGTGCTGACTAGGCATCTCCAACCTTCTGTTATGACAGTTTCTTTTTTAAATGCTAGTCATACCCTTTATTGTTAATCCCTAATACAAAGCTGAGTTGTCTTTTTATAATAACTTTATTGAGATATAACTCATATAATAATAAAATTTATCCTTTTAAAATGTAGTGCTCAGTGGATTTTAGTATTTTTGGAGTTGTACAACCATTGCCATTATCTGATCTTAGAATACTGTCTTCATCACTCTGAAATACAATTAATTTTTAATAACTATATTCTGCCTCCCTTACCCTATCTGGCCTAAAGTACCTTTGGCAAACACTAATCTCTTTTCTCTTTATACCTATTCTGAACAGCTTCACATGCTTCTACTTGCCTTCTCTCCTACCTGCCTCCATGAAGAGCACCCCAGGGCTAGCCACTTATCCCAGAAGGTGGGTGATGGACACACGGAACAGAACTTTTCACCTATTAGACAAGAGCAACTGATTCTCAAATGACTCAAAGTAGCTTGAACTAAATAAACCCTTACCTACATTCCACTGAGCTCTTGTGACTGTTATGCAGTAATAGCTGACTAATACAATGGCCATTTATAGCAACTGTTTTCCATCTTATGTTTTCACTGCCCAAGAGGGATGGGGACAATTAGTGTCTGGTTTCAGCAACGGGCTCTGATTGATCTATCCCTAACTGTAAGTCAGCAGGTTAGCCTGCCATAGTTTCATGGAAGTAAGCCAATAAAATGTGTCCATGAAGTGACATAGAATGAAGACATTACTGTCACCATTACGTGAGTGAGCGGGGGCAATTCCTGAGAAAGGCAGGGGTGCTGGACACATAGTACACGCAGTCATGACCTTGGAGGGACAATGAGGTACTACCCAAGCAGAGGGCAACTATGTTCTTGGCATGATTTACTTATGTCAATTAATCATCCGTGTGTGTGTGTGTGTGTGTTTAACGGGGGGAGAGGAGACAGGAGACAATGATGGTAATTTTTACCTGGGATCAAAGTGAAATGTGTGTGTGTGTGGCTACTGGAGGTAAGAATCTGTTGTTAACAGCTTGGTGTGGTGGCCCAGGCCTATGATCCCAGCACTTGGGTGAGGCAGGAGGATCACTGCAAGTCTGAGGCCAGCCTGGGATACATAGAATGACCTTGTCTCAAAAAACCAAAAGCTAAACAAACAAACAACAACAACAAAAATCTACTGTTAGTCAACCTAAATTCCAAGTCATCACTTAAGAGGTTTAAGTCATTTGCTATACTGAATGTGATTCTATGTGTTTTGGAACAGCTGTTTATTTTATAATACATATAATAATATACATTGTATAATTACTCATGCTTCAAAAAAAAGTACTATACTTGATGGGAAATTGAAGGAATGTTCAAATGCAACTGTCCGTAAGAAGCTTTTTCTCAGAAATGACATGTGTCTCAGAGGGTGGAAGAGAGGACCTGAGTGTGCAATATTGCTCTTATCATTTGGTGAAATGAAAGCTTCAAGTAGGGATTCAAGTAGTTTTGCAAAAATAGTTTTTAAATGCAGACGAGTTTGTGGGTTGAGAGTCACGCTGTGACTCTACCCGTCTTTGTTAGTCTCGCATGTTATAGAAAATGCAGTGGTGGAAGAAAGGAACGTTAGATGATAGTGACAGATAATGAATTAGCGCTACACGGAACAACAGATGAACCTTACAAATACAACGTTGAATGAAAGGAAGAAGATTCTTAAGAGTTGTTTACTATATGATTCCATTTGTATTAGGTTTTACACCAGGGAAAACTGATCAGTAATGTTAGAAATCAGGAGTGAGATAAGGAAACAGAGAGCATAGGCCCTGGCAGGACACTTGACAGTCTTGCACCCTGGATTCTCTTCCAGCAGAGTGAGGTCCGTGGGAGACAGTGACAGAGACATCAAATCATGCAGAGCGGAGCCTGTGTGCCACATCCCTGGAGACAGTCTGGAAGTTCAGGGGCACCTGGGGACTTTCCTTCACACGTCAGAAGAAATGTCTGAGCGGATGAGTGTGAGGTCTTGCCCCTAAAGCCTCTGAGCTGTTCACAGCTGGGTAGGAGCGTCAGAATATTCTGGCACGGGTGGCAGTGGCATGGATATGGTCCAGAAGGTTGGAAGCCTTGAAGTGTTTTTGTTATCTGGGCAAGGATGGCCCAGCAGTGCCCTGCTAGACTCAGTCGTATTGGGTAGATGGCAGATCAGTTGGCACTGACAGGATGACACTTTAGCCATCACAGAATTTTCTGGAGAAGGCAGCTCTTCATCCTTTCTTTAGGATTTTTAAATCCTAATAAAAGTACTATGGACCTACAGAGAGTAGTGTATTTGAGCTCAGGATTCCAACAGAACCATGGACTTGAAAACAGTCATGACTCTTGCCATGGATTACTGTGCTCCTCCCTGTGTTCCCCTTCCTCTCTTTGCAATGACTGGTTTTTTCTGCTTCTTAGTCTACATAGAGGAACACGCCACCAGCTGGACACAAAATTTTAAATGTGAAAGTTCAAATCCTGGGAAAGAGACCTATCCCTCTTCCAAAGCCCAACATCAAAACTTCCAAGGGGATAAGATCGATT